CTGCAGAAGTGAGAGGATCCCTCTTGTCCTTTGCTGAACGTAGCATTTGTTGGATTTTCTTGGTGGGTTTGTAGATTTGTATGTTGTGTTTCCTCATCAGCTTCCCTCTGCGGTCAGTGGTTCCCTTGATGTCTGACAGGAACACTTTTCCTCTGGCTGGATCTTCATCTTTACTCTCGTGGCTTGTTCTTGGTCTTGCAGCTCTTCTGATGTCTGAAGTGGAGTATCCATTGGCCTGGAGAGCACAGTTGAGGTTCTACACGAATCAAGGAACATGAAAGGCACTGCAGACTCTTTCAACCAGAGAAGTCAGCCATAGCAGAGCACCCGATGAACCAGCCAGGACACAGCATATTATTTGAGAACACAGAAATGCTGGACCACTCTCACAACCACCATGTCGGACTACACAGAGAAGCCATTGAAATCCACAAGCATGTGCACAATTTCAACAGAAAGGAAAGAACCATGAAAATGAACAAAATCTGGCTACCAGTATTTAAAAAACTCCAAATTGGAACAGCACATCAACAGAGAGGAAACAAACACGGACATCTAATCACCTTTCAACCAAAGATTGCTCCAGGCCCTAAGCCATTAAATGCTAATCAAGGTGGTCAGTTGAAACATTCACTCCAGCAGACAGAAGTCCTTTGTCCCACCCTGGTCATTCCACAGATATATAAACCCATTTTCCTACTTCCAACATAACTCACTACCTCTGAGGATACTTGCCATAGATGCAGGCGAAACGTCAGGAGAGAATGCCTCTAGAACATGGCCATATAGCCCGAAAAACCTACAACAACCCAGTGATTCCGGCCATGAAAGCCTTCGACAATACAGATCCATAATTGTTTGAGATGCCCCAAACCCAACTTTTGCAAACCGGAAAGCTTCTGGCAGTTCCACAAATGGTCTCAAGCGACCTCATTGTTGTTGTTTATCCGTTCCAACTCTTCGTGACCTCATAGAATCCTACAATCCTAGAGTTGGAAGAGACCTGATGGGCCATCCAGTCCAACCCCATTCTGCCAAGAAGCAGGAATGATACATTCAAATAACCCCTGACAGATGGCCATCCAGCCTCTGTTTAAAAGCTTCCAAAGAAGGAGCCTCCACTACGCAGAGAGTTCCACTGCTGAACAGCTCTCACAGTCAGGAAGTTCTTCCTCGTGGACCAGTCCAAGCCAGAGCTCCGTAGGCCAACCGTCACCACCCCCAGCTCCTTCAGAGTCAAGGCTGTCCCTTCAAGGATGCCATCCATTCAAGAGACCTCAGTTTAAGGAAGTGGTTCTCAACCTTTCTCATGCCGCGACCCCTTAATCCAGTTCCTCATGTTGTGGTGACCCCCAACCATAACATTATATTCATTGCTACCTCACAACTGTAATTTTGCTACTGTTATGAATCATAACGTAAATATCTGATATGCAGGATGTATTTTCATTCACTGGACCACATTTGGCACAAATACCCGATACGCCCAAATTTGAATACTGGTGGGGTTGGGTGGGGATTGATTTTGTCATTTGGGAGTTGTAGTTTGCTGGGATTTATAGTTTACCTACAATCAAAGAACACTCTGAACGCCACCAATGATGGAATTGAACCTATCTTGGCACACAGAACTCCCATGATTAAGAGAAAATACTGGAAGGGTTTGGTGGGCACTGACCTTGAGTTTGGGAGTTGCAGTTCACTTCCATGCAGAGAGCACTGTAGACTCAAACAATGATGGATCTGGACCAACTTGGCACAAATACTCAGTATGCCCAAATGTGAATACTGGTGGAGTTTGGGGGAAAATAGACCTTGACATTTGGGAGTTGTGGTTGCTGGGATTTATAGTCAACCTACAATCAAAGAGCATTCTGAACCCAACCAACGATGGAATTCAACCAAACTTGGTACACAGAATTTATTTATTTATTTATTTACTTACTTACTTTATTTATATATCGCTTTTCTCAGCCCTCAGACGACTCAAAGCAGTTAAGGGTTTGGTGGGCACTGACCTTGAGTTTGAGAGTTGTAGTTCACTTCCATCCAGAGAGCACTGTGGACTCAAACAATTATGGATCTGGACCAAACTTGGCACGGATACTCAACATGCCCAAATGTGAGCAGTGGTGGAGTTTGGGGAAAATAGACCTTGACATTTGGGGATTTTAGTTGGTGGGATTTATAGTCAACCTACAATCAAAAAGCATTCTGAACTCCACCAACGAGGAAATTGAACCTATCTTGGCACACAGAACTCCCATGACCAAGAGAAAGTCCTGGAAGGGTTTGGTGGGCACTGAACTTGAGTTTGGGAGTTGTAGTTCACCTCCATCCAGAGAGCACTCTGAACAATTATGGATCTGGACCAAACTTGACACGAATACTCAAGCTGGTCTGAGTCCCTCTATGGAGGTTGAGAAGATCGGGGTATAAAAGTTTTAAATAAATAAATAAACATGCCCAAATGTGAACACTGGTGGAGTGTGGGGAAAATAGACCTAGAATCATAGAATCATAGAATGAAAGAGTTGGAAGAGACCTCATGGGCCAACCAGTCCAAACCCCTACCAAGAAGCAGGAATATTGCTTGTCATGTGGGAGTTGTAGTTGCTGGGATTTACAGTTCACCGACAATCAAAGAGCACTCTGAACTCCACCAACGAGGGAATTGAACCTATCTTGGCACACAGAACTCCCATGGCCAAGAGAAAATACTGGAAGGGTTTGGTGGGCATTGATCTTGAGTTTGGGAGTTGTAGTTCACCTTCATCCAGAGAGCCCTGTGGACTCAAACCATGATGGATCTGGAACAAACTTGGCACGAATACTCAAAATGGCCAAATGTGAACACTGGTGGAGTTTGGGGAAAATAGACCTTGACATTTGGGAGTGGTAGTTGCTGGGATTTATAGTTCACCTACAAATTCTGAACCCCATGAATGATAGAATTGGGCCAAACTTCCCACAGAGAACCCCCTTAACCGAAAGAAAATATTGTGTTTTCTGATGGTCTTTGCTTACCTCCTCTGACACCCCCCTCATGACCCTCTCCCCAGGGGTCCAGACCCTCAGGTTGAGAAACGCTGCAATAATAATAACAGTAATAATAATAATAATAATAATAATAATAATAATAATAATAATACACTGGCCTATAGCAAGTAGCAGCTCCACCCGACCTGAACTCTGCTCGAGGTCAACAGGGAAGTGCATTGGAGTGTTTTGTGGTTTCCGGGCCATATGGCTGTGTTCTAGCAGCATTTTCTCATGACCTTTCGCCTGCACCTGTGGCTGGCATCTTCAGGGAAGTGCATTATTTGCTGAGCTGCCCAAGAATTGGAAACAAAGACTGTGTCCTGAGGGCGGGAGACCGAGAACAGACCGAGAATTCACTGACCCATTGAATGCACCACAAAGGTCCATGAACATGCCCCGAGATACTGGGTTTCAGCCATAAGAGAGACCCACGGGTACATTGTTCAAGTCGCATTGACTGGCTGTCTGCGCAGGGTTCCATACTTCACACATTAACAACACAACTGTCCAATGCTAAGACTTCCTGCCAAAATGGAACTGTAGATGAGAGTCTACTGAACAAGCCAGTACCTGCCACGTATCAGTACTGCCATCTGTTGAGGAGTTCCAAAGGTGGAGGCATTACTTTTCATTCAACCCTTGTATAACCCAGGAACAGCAATCTGTTGTTCCATGCCACAAGTACACAACCAAATCTGTCTGGACAGATGGCCAGGCAGCCAGGCTCTAAAAAGTGTCAATAATGACAGAGTTCTGTTCCTGGCCTGAAAGTGTGTGTTCCTGTTCGATTGTGTACTGCTGACTTGGGCAGAAGTGGTCCTACCCTGTAAACTTTGTGTGGCGGATACTGGCCAGGACAAAGAACGGAACTTTTGCAGTGATTCGCATATCCGAATCTCCGCGTATCAGGCAAAGTTTCATGGTGGCCATCTTGGGAGACTCTAAATCCCGCAGGAAAGCATCAAGTCTGGGCAACGGAGGCAGAAATCCCGCCACCAAGAGGTCTGGATGTGGACTTCTTCAGAAAGTCCCGGGATTTCGTGCTGTCTGGAAGCGCCCTGAGTATCATCATCATCATCATCATTTAATAACTTACTAATCGCCCTCCATCTGAGAATGCTCTAGGCGATTTACAGCTAAAATACAGGGTTAGTCAAAATGAATAGGCCAATAAGAAAATTAATTTTAGACGAATGTATGTTTACTGTAACCAAACCACAGCTACGTAGCGACAGATAAACTATCAAAGTTTCTTTTGATCAACACACATGTACGTTAATGCCGCTAGGCGTCGCTAGGTGCCCCTCCGCATTGGCACAACAGTGTACGCGAGTACCTCAACGAACACCTTCCCAGACGTTGGATTGGCCGTGCTGGAGTGACTGATCTTCCATTCCTCCTGTGGCCCCCCAGGTCCCCCGACCTCACACCATGCGACTTTTCTCTCTGGGGGTATGTGAAAGACACTGTGTTCCGACCTCCATTACCGCTGACCTTGGACGACTTAAAACAGCGCATATGTGCTGCATTCGATGCCATTACGTCGGATGTGCTGCAACGGATGTGGAATGAACTGGACTATCGCTTGGACATCTGCCGTGTCACACGGGGCGCCCATATCGAACATCTCTGAAGGTGAGACAAAACTTTGATAGTTTATCTGTCGCTACGTAGCTGTAGTTTGGTTACAGTAAACATACATTCGTCTAAAATTAATTTTCTTATTGGCCTATTCATTTTGACTAACCCTGTATAAAAGATAAAATACATACATACAGAAATTAAAAATCAACAGAGATCGAATGCTCTAGTAAAAAGCCAAGTCTTGAGTGCGAGAGTAAAAGGTCCTAAGTCCCGCATGGCTCTCATGTAGGGCGGCAAGGAAATCCCACAAGGCAGGAAGGGCAGAAATGGAGAAAGCCCACCTGCGCCTGGTCCTTTCCAAGTGCCCTTCTCTAGGACCCGGTATATGGAGTAAGTCACGTTGGGCTGGTCGTTGCGACCTCCGATGATGGGAGAAGGAGAGGCGGTCCCTAAGGTACGATGGACCCTGGCCGTAAAGAGTTTTAAAGGTCAGAACTAGCATCTTATACAGTTGGAAGCCAATGTCAATGTTGCAGCACTGGTGTTCTATGGCATTATTTCATGGGCGTTCTTGTGAGTAACCTGGCTGCCGCATTCTGAACAATACGAAGCTTTCGAGTCGTAGACATCGGAAGGCCCACATACAGGGCGTTGCAATAGTCCAGCCTAGACGTGACCGTGGCATGGATGACCGTTGCCAGAGCCTCGTCAGATAGGTAGGGTGCCAGTTGCCTCGCTTGTCGTAGGTGGACAAAGGCCTGTTTGCTGGCAGCAGCGACCTGAGCTTCCATTGTCAGCTGTGAATCCAGGACGACACCTAAGCTCTTAACAGTGGTCGATGGAGATAGGGCGGCACCATCGAAGGTGGGTAATGGAGGAGCCAGACCAGAGAATCTCAATCTTCGCCGGGTTCACCTTCAGTCTGCTAGCATGTAGCCAGTTCGACAGAGCATCCAGACATTGGGTGAAATTGTCTGGAATTGACGTTGCTCCAGGTTCCAAGCGCAGAAGGAGTTCGGTATCGTCTGCATATGTAGGTGAGTCGCAGCTTGCTCACTCCTCAGGACCAGAGGGTCTTCCTCAGCTGCCAATCTGGCTGGGATGACCCACAATAAATTAAAAGAGCGCCTATTTCCTCGCGCCCTGACCCCTTCCCCACTCCACCCAGAGTTGCTAAGTGGCTGCGTCCCCGAGCCCAATCTCTTTGCATCCAGCTTCCTGTTTGAATTTGGTCATGCTTCCGAGGGGGACCTGAAGTGGGGCACAGGGCAGCAGGAGGGGTCCATGTGCCTGCAGGAAGGGGGGCAGACCCTGGCCGTGGTCCCTGGCGGTGTAGCGAGGGAGCAGCCGCCCGCCGGCGTGGGCCGCCAGATGGGCCTTCATCTCCTTCCGCCGGCTGAAGACGAGCCCGCACTCGGTGCAGGGGTAGACCCTCTCGACGGTGTGGGTGAGGTGGTGGGTGCGCAGGTTGCCCTTGTACTTGAAGCTCTTGCCGCACTCCAGGCAGGCGTAGGGCCGCTCGCCCGTGTGGATACGCCGGTGCTTCATGAGGGTGGTCTTGAGGTTGAAGGTCTTGCCGCAGTCGGCGCAGGCGAAGGGCCGCTCCCCGGTGTGGATGCGCTGGTGGGTGATGAGGGTGCCCTTGCGGTTGAAGCTCTTGCCGCACTCCAGGCAGGCGAAGGGCTTCTCCCCGGTGTGGATGCGCCGGTGCTTGATCAGCTCCCCGTTGTGGCTGAAGCGCTTGCCGCAGTCGGCGCACACAAAGGGCCGCTCCCCGGTGTGGATGCGCTGGTGGCGGGTGAGGTCCCCGTTGCGGCTGAAGCCCTTCCCGCACTGGGCGCAGCCAAAGGGCCGGTCGCCCGCGTGGATTTTCTGGTGGAGGAGGAAGGTCTTCTTGGCGCAGAAGCCCTTGCCGCACTCGCCGCAGACGAAGGGCCGCTCGCCCCGGTGGATCTTCTGGTGGGTGAGGAAGTTGGCCTTGCGGTTGAAGGCTTTGCCACACTCCGGGCATGCGTAGGGCTTCTCGCCCGTGTGGATGCGCTGGTGCAGGACGAAGGTCTGCTTGGAGCAGAAGCTCTTCCCACAGGCGGAGCACTCGAAGGGCTTCTCCCCCGTGTGGATGCGCAAGTGGCGCATCAGGTCCCCTTTCTGGCTGAAGCGCTTCCCGCACTCGGAGCACGGGAAGGGCTTCTCCCCCGTGTGCACCCGCAGGTGGGTGATCAGGTTGCCACGGTGCTGGAAGCGCTTGCCGCACACGCCGCAGTCGAAGGGCCGGCCGGCCGCCGTGTAGGTCTTGGTGGCCGGGCACTCGGGGTCCTTCGGGGCGTCCATACTGGGAGGAAGGGACCTCTTCTCAGACTCCACAGACTCCGCCATCGGGCCGGCAGCCACCTGGGTGCCCAGGTTAACGCTATGGTCCCCACATGGGTTGGGGTTGAGCCTGGGGGAGCATGGGAAGTGGGGCACCTCTTCCTCCAGCTCCATCTTCACAATGACGTCGGGACTGGGATCCGCTGTAGTTGGAGAAAGAGGAGAAGACAGGGTGAAGCGGATGCCTCTCCTATAGCCTATTTATTTATTTATTTATTTATTTATTTATTTATTTCGGTTTCTTCTACCCCGCCCTTCTCACCCCGAAGGGGACTCAGGGTGGCTTACAAAAGCAAAGGCACAAATCGATACCCGCATCACATAACAGTCGTAAAACAGAAATAGCATCAATTCACAGTTAAACAACAATTCCTGCATTACAACCATAAAACCAATAAAATCAATACAAACCAATACAAACCCAATTCCTCCTCCAAAACGATCAGCGTTCCCTATCTCATAGTTCCACTTTCAATTCCACATTGTCCATCCTGTCAGTCTTACTCGTCTGATTGTCTTATCTAGTTGTCAGAATGCCCGAAGGCCTGGTCCCACAACCACGTCTTTACCTTCCTCCTGAAGGAGAGGAGGGATGATGATGCCCTAATTTCCACCGGAAGTGAGTTCCACAGGTGAGGGGCCACCACCGAGAAGGCCCTGTTCCTCGTCCCCACCAGCCTCACTTGTAACAGCGGTGGGGTCGAGAGCAGGGCCTCCCCAGATGATCTCAAACTCCGGGGTGGGACGTAGAGGGAGATACGTTCGGACAGATACACTGGACCGGAACCGTACAGGGTTTTGTAGGTCAAAACCAGCACCTTGAATTGTGCTCGGAACTGAACCGGCAGCCAGTGGAGCTGACACAACAGGGGGGTGGTGTGCTCCCTGTATGTCGCTCCGGTGAGCAATCTGGCTGCCGCTCGCTGGACCAGTTGAAGTTTCCGAACAGTCGTAGAATCATAGAATCATAGAATCAAAGAGTTGGAAGAGACCTCATGGGCCATCCAGTCCAACCCCCTGCCAAGAAGCAGGAATATTGCATTCAAATCACCCCTGACAGATGGCCATCCAGCCTCTGTGTTAAAAGCTTCCAAAGAAGGAGCCTCCACCACACTCCGGGGCAGAGAGTTCCACTGCTGAACAGCTCTCACAGTCAGGAAGTTCTTCCTCATGTTCAGATGGAATCTCCTCTCTTGTAGTTTAAAGCCATTGTTCCTGCGTCCTAGTCTCCAGGAAGCAGAAAACAAGCTTGCTCCCTCCTCCCTGTGGCTTCCTCTCACATATTTATACATGGCTATCATATCTCCTCTCAGCCTTCTCTTCTTCAGGCTAAACATGCCCAGCTCCTTAAGCCGCTCCTTGTTCTCCAGACCCTTGATCATTTTAGTCGCCCTCCTTTGGACACATTCCAGCTTGTCAATATCTCTCTTGAATTGTGGTGCCCAGAATTGGACACAATATTCCAGGTGTGGTCTAACCAAAGCAGAATAGAGCATGGGGAGCATTACTTCCCTAGATCTAGACACTATGCTCCTATTGATGCAGACCAAAATCCCATTGGCTTTTTTGCCGCCACATCACATTGTTGGCTCATGTTTAACTTGTTGTCCACAAGGACTCCAAGATCTTTTTCACACGTACTGCTCTCGAGCCAGGCATCCCCCATTCTGTATCTTTGCATTTCTTTTTTCCTGCCTCAGTGGAGTATCTTGCATTTGTAACTGTTGAACTTCATTTTGTTAGTTTTGGCCCATCTCTCTAATCTGTCAATCTGTTTTGAATCCTGCTCCTGTCCTCTGGAGTATTGGCTATCCCTCCCAATTTGGTGTCGTCTGCAAACTTGATGATCATGCCTTCTAGCCCTTCATCTAAGTCATTAATAAAGATGTTGAACATGACCGGGCCCAGGACGGAACCCTGCGGCACTCCACTTGTCACTTCTTTCCAAGATGAAGAGGAAGCATTAGTGAGCACTCTCTGTGTTCGTCCACTTAACCAATTACAGATCCACCTCACCGTGGTTTTGCCTAGCCCACATTGGACTAGTTTCCTTGCCAGAAGGTCATGGGGGACCTTGTCGAAGGCCTTACTGAAATCCAGGTACGCTACATCCACGGCATTCCCCGCATCTACCCAGCTTGTAACTCTATCGAAAAAAGAGATCAGATTAGTCTGGCATGACTTGTTTTTGATAAATTCATGTTGACTATTAGCGATGACTGCATTTGTTTCTAAGTGTTTGCAGACCACTTCCTTAACAATCTTTTCCAGAATCTTGCCTGGTATCGACGTGAGGCTGACCGGACGGTAATTGTTTGGGTCATCCTTTTTTCCCTTCTTGAAGATTGGGAGCACATTGGCCCTCCTCCAATCTGCTGGAACTTCTCCCGTTCTCCAAGAACTCTCAAAGATGGTTGCCAATGGTTCCGAAATGACTTCCGCTAGTTCCTTCAATACTCTTGGGTGTAGTTGATCTGGCCCTGGGGACTTGAACTCATTAAGAGCGGCCAGGTATTCCTGGACGACTTGTTTCCCAATTTGGGGTTGGATGTCCTCCAATCCCTCATCCACTCCATCTTGCTGAGGTTGAAGACTCTCTTTTTGTGAGAAGACCGAGGCAAAGAAGGCATTAAGTAGTTCTGCCTTTTCCCTATCATCCTCTGTCAGCATTGCCCCATCTTCTCCTCGAAGAGCTCCTATCGCCTCCTTTTTTTTCCTTTTTCTACTGACATAAGAATAGAAGCCCTTTTTATTGTTTTTAATGTCCCTGGCAAGTCTGAGCTCGTTTTTTGCTTTAGCCTTGCGGACCTTTCCCCTACAGGTGTTGGCTATTTGTTTGAAATGTAACAATAGTGTGGACCACCGTGGCCAGATCAGACTTCCGAAGGTACGGGTGCAACTGGTGCACAAGTTTTAATTGTGCAAAAGCTCTCCCGGCCACCGCCGAGACCTGGGGTTCCAGGCTCAGCGATGAGTCCAGGATCACTCCCAAGCTGCGAACCTGCGTCTTCAGGGGGAGTGTAACCCCGTCTAACACAGGCTGTAACCCTATACCCTGTTCGGCCTTACGACTGACCAGTAGGACCTCTGTCTTGTCTGGCTTCAATTTCAATTTGTTAGCTCTCATCCAGTCCGACACAGCAGCCAAGCACCGGTTCAAGGTCTGGACAGCCTTCCTTGGTGACAGGTGGAAAGGAGTGACAGATCTGGACATCATCTGCGTAGAGATAACATCTCAGTCCGAAACTCCGAATGATCTCCCCCAGCGGCTTCATGTAGATGTTAAACAACATTCCAAAACATCTATCTCTGAAGGACAACAGCCCTCAATGAAGGAGACCTTGAAGGTTCTCAACCTTCCTAATGCCGTGACCCCTGAATACAGTTCCTCATGTTGTGGTGACCCCCAACCATAATATTGTTTTCGTTGCTACTTGATACCTGTCATTTTACTACTGTTATAAGTCATAAATATCCGATATGCAGGATGTATTTTCATTCACTGGACCAAATTGAGCACAAATACCCAATGCCCAAATGTGAATGCTAGTGGGGTTGAGGGAGGATTGATTTTGTAATTTGGGAGTTGTAGTTGCTGGAATTTATAGTTCACTTATAATCAAAGAGCATTCTGAACTCCACCAGCAATAGATTTGAGCCAAACTTGGCACACAGAGATCCCATGACCAACAGAAAACACTGGAAGGGTTTGGTGGGCATTGACCTTGAGATTGGGTTTATAGTTCACCTACAATGTGGATTCATGTGCATTCTGAACTCCACCAACTATAGAATTGGGTCAAACTTCCCACACAGAATCCACATGACCAACACAAAATACTGTGTTTTCTGATGGTCTTTTGCGACCCCTTTGACACCCCCTCATGACCCCCTCAGGGGTCCCGACCACCAGGTTGAGAAACACTGCTCTAAAGCAAGTAGGGGCAAACCCAGGCCATAGGATTCTAGATCAGAAGGAGGCAAGACGGGGGGGGGGGGGGGCGGTGTCTCCTGGAGACACTTTTTCTCTCCCGCCCACCATCTCATCCTGAGGAAGACCAACGCTTATAGGATGCAAATGTTTCCTGTCTTTTCTTCAATTTCTGCCCCCCAAAAAAGAGAAGAGGAAAGAAGAGGAGGAAACTGAAGGGAGGGGATTGGGGGAGAACACCCCCGCTCCGGCCTGCCATGCGCCCCCCCCCCCAAGTTAGAAAGTTTGCCCATGCCTGTTCTAAAGCATGCACACTCAGACACTCCTCGTGCGCATTTCTGAATGACAGAGCCCCTGCTATTTCTGCCCCCCTCCCACCCAAGTGTCCCCAAGGCCAGAAGGGCCCCAGATGCTCCCTTGCAGGGCCCTCCCGCACTCACAGGAATCCGTGTCACTGCCAGACTCTCTGTCGCTGTACTCCCAGGATCCGTTGCTGTGCAAACTGTCCTCCGGCTCCGTCTTGACGGCAAATCCCCCCTGGGTGCCTGAAAAAGATACCAAGGATTCACATGGAAAGTGGGGTGCTGCAGTCATGGCTGTGTGAGGTCAGGCTTAGAAGAGAGAAGACGGGGAGGAGACAGGAGCCACCTTTGAATAAACAGAGTCAGGTTGCCTTCTGCTGCTCCACAGAACCACGGGTGAAATCTCCCTAAGTGTTAGGAAGCACTATCTGACAGCAAGAGTCGTTGGAGAATGTGACATGGGCTGCCTGGGAGGAGGCCAGTCTCCGCCTGGTTGAGTGACCTCTCGCTGGGTGAGAGGTCCCAGCTAATTCCAGACAAACCAAGGCAATGGGACTATCAAGATGCTTCTGGTCCTTTACCCCATTGTTATCTTGAAGCCAGGCAAAGACCATAATGATCCAAAAAGCTACAGACCAATCTCCCTGTTGTGCCACCTCTACAAAGTTCTGGAGAGACTTATTTTGCATTGAATTGGAAAAAATAGACCCCTGTCTGATTCCACAGCAAACTGGCTTCAGGAAAGGCAAAAGCTGCACATCGCAAGTGCTGAACCTGACTCAGCACATAGAAGATGGCTTTGAAAGGCAGCAGATCTCAGGAGCTGTCTTCATAGACCTGTCAGCAGCATAGACCTGTCAGCAGCCTATCATACTGAGAAAAATGTATAATATCACAAAGGACGACCACCTCACCCGCCTCATAGGAAACCTGCTACAAAACAGGAGCTTTTTTGTTGAGTTCCAGGGCCAGAGAAGCAGATGGCGGAAACAGAAGAACGGCCTGCCTCAGGGGAGCGTGCTTGCTCCATCCATGTTCAACATCTACACAAATGACCAGCCACTGCCAGAAGGGACAGAGAGCTTCATCTATGCTGATGACCGTGCCATCACTGCTCAAGCAGAGAGCTTTGAGATGGTTGAACAGAAGCTCTCCGAGGCTCTAGGCCAGGGGTAGGGAACCTTCGGCCCTCCAGGTGTGGTGGACTTCAACTCCCACAATTCCTTGAGGCTCGTGTAAGCCTTTGGGGCGAATGCCGAGCCTCAAGGAATTGTGGGAGTTGAAGTCCACCACACCTGGAGGGCCGAAGGTTCCCTACCCCTGCTCTAGGCGCTCCTACTGCCTATTCCAGGGAAAACCAGCTGATCCCCAACCCATCTAAAACACAGACATGTGCTTTTCATCTCAAGAACAGACAAGCATCCCGAGCTCTGAGGATTACTACCTGGGAAGGAATCCCACTGGAGCATTGCAGCGCACTGGGAGTCACTCTGGACCGTGCTCTGACCTACAAGAAGCATTGCCTGAACATCAAGCAAAACGTGGGTGCTAGAAAGAATATCATACGGAAGCTGACTGGCACAACCTGGGGATCACAACCAGACACAGTGAAGACATCTGCCCTTGCGCTGTGCTACTCTGCTGCTGAGTATGCATGCCCAGTGTGGAACACATCTCACTACACTAAAACAGTGGATGTGGCTCTTAATGAGACATGCCGCATTATCACGGGGTGCCTGCGCCCTACACCACTGGAGAAATTACACTGCTTAGCCCGTATTGCACCACCTGACATCCGCCGGGAAGTAGCAGCCAATAGTGACATCTCCAGCCCATCCTCTGTTTGGGTATCAGCCAGCACGTCAATGACTTAAATCAAGAAATAGTTTCCTTAGATCTACAGAGACACTCGCTGGAACACCCCAGCAAGCGAGAGTCCAAAAGTGGCAGGCTCAAACCCAGAACCTCAACCAATGGCTGATGCCAAATGAGAGACTCCCCCCTGGGCACACAGAAGACTGGGCGACTTGGAAGGCGCTGAACAGACTGCACTCTGGCATCAGAAGATGCAGAGCCAACCTTCAGAAATGGGGCCACAAAGTGGAATCCACGACATGCGAGTGTGGAGAAGAGCAAACCACTGACCACCTGCTGCAATGCAACCTGAGCCCTGCCACATGCACAATGGAGGACCTTCTTGTGGCAACACCAGAGGCACTCCAAGGGGCCAGATACTGGTCAAAGGACATTTAATCAACTACCAAGCTTGCAAACTTTTTTGTTTGTTTGTTTAAAATGTAATACAGGGTTAGTCAAAATGAATAGGCCAATATTCATTATTCATTATTCATTATTGGCCTATTCATTTTGACTAACCCTGTACAATGGTCTGGTTGCTACTGACACGCTACATAAATAAACCCCACCCAAAGAAGAAAAAGAGTGCAGTCTTCCCTCAGTCTCTCTTACCTGCCGTGGGGCCATAGTGCGCCTCCTTTTCTGTCCCTGGGGGGTTCAGCGGGCATCCAATGCACAACTCGTCCTCGGGTTCCTCTTTGACCACCATCTCGTTCCCTGGAGCAGCGCAGCCTGAGGTCAGAAGGAGAAAAGTCCCTCAGTTGCGGTGCTTTCCCCTTCCTATCTGTTATTGTGCAGTTACCAAACCAAGCACAGATCCAGTTGGTTCATAGCCTTTTGTGAACTATTCATAAATAATGACCACGATCTGGTCATTGGATCTAAGGGTCTTCCAGCTGAAACCAACCAGATTCCAGCATCTGTGCATTCTTGGATGGTGAAGGATTACAATCAGGATTGTGTCAGAAGAGACCCCAAGAACCATCCAGTACAACCTCCAACAATAGCCATCCATGGAGATGTTCAATGTATTGTCGAAGGTTTCATGGCCGGAATCATTGGGTTGTTGTAGGTTTTTTTCCAGGCTATATGGCCATGTTCTAGAGGCATTCTCTCCTGACGTTTCGCCTGCATCTATGGCAAGCATCCTCAGAGGTAGTGAGGTCTGTTGGAACTAGGAAAAGGGTTTATATATCTGTGGAATGACCAGGGTGGGACAAAGGACTCTTGTCTGCTGGAGCTAGGTGTGAATGTTTCAACTGACCACCTTGATTAGCATTTGATTGCCTGGCAGTGCCTGGAGCAATCTTTTGTTGAGAGGTGATTAGATGTTCTTGTTTGTTTCCTCTCTGTTGTTGTGCTGTTGTAATTTTTGAGTTTTTTTTAATACTGGTAGCCAGATTTTGTTCATTTTCATGGTTTCCTCCTTTCTGTTGAAATTGTCCACATGCTTGTGGATTTCAATGTTCTCTGTGTAGTCTGACATGGTGGTTGTTGGTGTGGTCCAGCACTTCTGTGTTCTCAAATAAAATGCTGTGTCCAGGCTGGTTCATCAGGTGCTCTGCTATGGCTGATTTCTCTGGTTGAAGGAGTCTGCAGTGCCTTTCATGTTCCTTGATTCGTGTTTGGGCAATGCTGCTGCGTTTGGTGGTCCCTATGTAGACTTGTCCACAGCTGCATGGTATATGGTAGACTCCTGCAGAAGCGAGAGGATCCCTCTTGTCCTGCACTGCCAGGCCATCAAATGCTAATCAAGGTGGTCAGTTGAAACATTCACACCTAGCTCCAACAGACAAGAGTCCTGTGCCCCACCCTGGTCATTCAACAGGTATATAAACCCATTTTCCTACTTCCAACAGACCTCACTACCTCTGAGGATGTTTGCCATAGATGCAGGCGAAACGTCAGGAGAAAATGCCTCTAGAACATGGCCATATAGCCTGAAGAAACCTACAACAACCCAACAGCCATCTAGCCTATGGATTTTTTTTTTGTCCTCTTTCAGTCTCACTTGGGGGAGTATGGCGAACAGTGCCTTCTCGGTGACTGATCCTTCCAAACCTTGGAATCTCCCCTCCCCCTGTGTTCCCTTAGCCTCCCTGACAGTTTCCTGCTGGGGAAGAGATTGTGCGTCTGTCACCCACCTGCGCTGGAGGACCCCCAGAGCTTGCCCTCCATCTCTGGATCAGGGCCGGTGGTGGGTTTTCTCTCCAGACTGGAAGAGACGCCCCCAATTTTACTTCAGTTTTACTTCAACACAACCTGCAGAACAGCAGAAAGAAAAGGATGGCTCAAGCACTGTGAGCAAGGACCCCACAATAATAATAATAATAATAATAATAATAATAATAATAATAATAATAATAAAACAACAACAATAACAACAAAAATAACAACAACAACAACCAGATCCCTCTGTTAGTAATTCTACAGAAAACAAATGTAGGCTACCAAACAACACCAAAAATGTCCCACTTTCTGTACATGGATGACCTGAAGCTTTATGGAAAATCAGAAACAAAAATCCAGTCACTGACCAACACAGTCAGAATCTTCAGCACTGGCATCAGTATGGAGTTCAGCCTAGACAAATGTGCCACAGTGGCATTGAAGAAAGGGAAAATGACCCACAACGAGGGCATAGAGATGCCAAACGGACAAACCATAAAGTGCAATCAGCCCAAAAGAAATTCACCAAAATTGTCCCACTTGTTGTACATGGATGATCTGAAGCTTTACGGAAAATCAGAAACAGAAATCCAGTCACTGAGCAGCACACTCAGAATCTTCAGCACTGACATCAGTATGGAGTTCGGCCTAGACAAATGTGCCACAGGAGCATTAAAGAAAGGGAAAATTACTCACAGCGAGGGCATAGAGATGCCAAATGGACAAACCAAAAAGTGCAATCAGCCTGAAGCCTATAAATATCTGGGCATACTGCAGTTGGACAATATCAAGCATGGGCATGTGAGAAAGGTAGTCAGCAAAGAATATGTCCAAAGAGTCAGAAAGGTTTTGAAGAGCAAATTAAATGGCAGAAATACGATCAAGGCTCTCAACCCCTGGGCCATCCCTGTCATTAGATACACGGCTGGGATTGTGAACGGGACACAAGCAGAGATGGATGATCTGGACAGAAAAACAAGAAAACTGATGACACTCCACTCCTCCTGACATCCGCGTAGTGATGTCAACAGGCTTGTCCTGCCCAGAAAATCAGGAGGCAGAGAGAAGAGGGATTCTGCAATGGAAACCATCAGTAGAAGAAGAAGAGAAACATGTCCTGGCAGATGAAGGGAAAGGCAGTCAAGAACCAACATGGAGGGAAGTCAATAATAATAAACTGCTTCAAGTGCAAAACACAAAGAGGGAATAGCGTAAAAACACAATCCAGTGCGGAAGAGAAAACTGGCCAAAGAAGACTCTCTCTCCATGGACGGTTCCTGGGAAACATTGAGAGCCAAATGGACAAAGAAAAAACCTGGCTGTGGCTCACCAATGGAACTCGGAAAAAGGAGACAAAGGAGGGCCTGATTCTGGCAGCCCAAGAACAAGCCATTCAAACCAAGGCCATCAGAGCCAGAATTGAAAAGTTGACAACAGATCCCAAGTGTAGACACTGCAAAGAAGCAGGTGAAACAATAGATCCCATCCTCAGCTGCTGCAAGAAGATCGCTGACAGACTACAAGCAGAGGAACAACACCGTTGCTCAGGTGATTCATTGGAACTTGTGCCACAAACACCATCTGCCTGTGACAAAGAACTATAATAATAATAATATAATATAATATAATAATAATTTGAATCATAATAACAATAGATCCCATCCTCAGCTGCTGCAAGAAGATCGCGCAGACAGACTACAAGAAGAGGCCTAACACCATTGCTCAGGTGATTCATTGGAACCTGTGCCACAAACACCATCTGCTTGCGACAAAGAACAGGTGGGATCACAAGCCGGAAAGAGTTACAGAGAATGAACACGTCAAGCTACTCTGGGACTTCTGGATTCAAACAGACAGAGCTCTGGAGCATAATACTCCTGACCTCATGATCGTGTTAAAAAACAAAGTATGGATTGTTGATGTTGCAATCCCAGATGACAGCAGGATTGAAGAGAAACAACTGGAAAAGCTGACACGATACGAGGATTTAAAGATCGAACTGCAAAGACTGTGGCACAAATCAGTCAAGGGGGTCCCAGTGGTGATCGGCACACTGAGTGCAGTGCCTAAAGACCTTGGCCTGCACTTAAACACAATCAGCGCTGACAAAATTACCATCTGCCAGCTGCAAAAGGCCACCTTAGTGGGATCTGCACACATTATTTATTTATTTATTTATTTGGTGCATTTGTTGACCGCCGCTCTCAGCCCTAGGGCAAATTACAAAAGGCAATACAAAACAGCATATCCACAATACAACAATTATATAATTACACTAAATGATCCGCTCCGTCTCATAGTAGAATCATAGCCAAGCTCATAATCCAAATTCCGTTCCAGTTGTCTTGCCAAAACTAATTGTAGCATTTAATTAAATGCCTGCTCGAATAGCCATGTCTTTAAGCCTTTACGAAAAGACATAAGGGAGGGCGCCTGTCTGATGTCTACAGGGAGAGTGTTCCACAGCCGGGGGGCCACCACCGAGAAGGCCCTCTCTCTCGTCCCCACCAGGCGTGCCTGTGAGGCAGGCGGGATCGAGAGAAGGGCCTCCCCGGACGATCTTAAGGCCCTCGTGGGCTCGTAGGCCAAGATGCGGTCTGACAGGTATTTTGGGCCGGAACCATTTAGGGCTTTGTAGGCTAACACCAGCACCTTGAATTGGGCCCGGTAGCAGGTCGGCAGCCAATGGAGCTGGTACAACAAGGGCGTTGTGTGCTCCCTGCGTCCCGCTCCAGTTAGTAACATGGCTGCCGCGCGCTGGACTAGCTGAAGCTTCCGGGCCGTCTTCAAGGGCAGCCCCACGTAGAGAGCGTTGCAGTAGTCAAGGCGGGATGTGACCAGAGCGTGTACCACCGTGGCCAAGTCAGACTTCCCAAGGTACGGGCGCAGCTGGCGCACAAGCCTAAGCTGTGCAAATGCTCCCCTGGTCACCGCTGAAACCTGGGGTCCAGGCTCAGCGATGAATCCAGGATCACCCAAGCTGCGAACCTGCGCCTTCAAGGGGAGTGCGACCCCATCCAGCACAGGCTGTAACCCTATACCCAGCTCAGCCTTGCGACTGACCAGGAGTACCTCTGTCTTGTCTGGATTTAGTTTCAGTTTGTTCGCCCCCATCCAGACCATTACAGCGGCCAGGCACCGGTTCAGGACCTCGACAGCCTCCTTAGTAGCAGGTGGAAAGGAGTGACAGAGTTGGACATCATCTGCGTACAGATGACACCGCACCCCGAAACTCCGGATGATCTCACCCAGCGGCTTCATGTAGATATTACATTATTCACCAATACATCACACAGTCCTAGACACTTGGGAAGTGTCTGACGTGGGATCCAATACAACAGCCAGCAGAGTGTCTGCTGTGGACTTATCTTGCTGTGTTTCAAATAATAATAATAATAATAATAATAATGATAATAATAAACATCACACAGTCCTAGACCTGTGGACTCATCTTGTGTGTTTCAAATAATAATAATAATAATAATAATAATATCCAATACAACAGCCAGCAGAGTGATCTGCTGTGGACTCATCTTGTGTGTTTCAAATAATAATAATAATAATAATAATCCAATACAACAGCCAGGAGAGTGTCTGCTGTGGACTCATCTTGTGGTGTTTCAAATAATAATAATAATAATAATAATAATAATAATAATAATAATAATCCAATACAACAGCCAGGAGAGTGTCCGCTGTGGACTCATCTTGTGGTGTTTCAATAATAATAATAATAATAATAATAATAATAATAATAATAATCCAATACAACAGCCAGGAGAGTGTCCGCTGTGGACTCATCTTGTGGTGTTTCAAATAATAATAATAATAATAATAATAATAATCCAATACAACAGCCAGGAGAGTGTCCGCTGTGGACTCATCTTGTTGTGTTTCAAATAATAATAATAATAATAATAATAATCCAATACAACAGCCAGGAGAGTGTCCGCTGTGGACTCATCTTGTGGTGTTTCAAATAATAATAATAATAATAATAATAATAATAATAATAATAATCCAATACAACAGCCAGGAGAGTGTCCGCTGTGGACTCATCTTGCTGTGTTTCAAATAATAATAATAATAATAATAATAATAATAATAATAATAATAATCCAATACAACAGCCAGGAGAGTGTCTGCTGTGGACTCATCTTGCTGTGTTTCAAATAATAATAATAATAATAATAATAATAATAATAATAATAATAATAATAATCCAATACAACAGCCAGGAGAGTGTCCGCTGTGGACTCATCTTGTGGTGTTTCAAATAATAATAATAATAATAATAATAATAATAATAATAATAATAATCCAATACAACAGCCAGGAGAGTGTCCGCTGTGGACTCATCTTGTGGTGTTTCAAATAATAATAATAATAATAATAATAATAATAATAATAATAATCCAATACAACAGCCAGGAGAGTGTCCGCTGTGGACTCATCTTGTGGTGTTTCAAATAATAATAATAATAATAATAATAATAATAATCCAATACAACAGCCAGGAGAGTGTCCGCTGTGGACTCATCTTGTGGTGTTTCAAATAATAATAATAATAATAATAATAATAATAATAATAATCCAATACAACAGCCAGGAGAGTGTCTGCTGTGGACTCATCTTGTGTGTTTCAAATAATAATAATAATAATAATAATAATAATAATAATAATATCCAATACAACAGCCAGCAGTGATCTTGTTTGCTGTGGACTCATCTTGTTGTACTTGGGAAATGTCCGACATGTGATCCAATACAACAGCCAGCAGTGTGTCTGCTGTGGACTCATCTTGTTGTGTTTCAAATAATAATAATAATAATAATAATAATAATAATAATAATAAGAATAATCCAATACAACAGCCAGCAGAGTGTTCCAAACTCCAAATTTCTTGTGACTCCAATAATAATAATAATAATAATAATAATAATAATAATAATCCAATACAACAGCCAGCAGAGTGTCCGCTGTGGACTCATCTTGTGGTGTTTCAAATAATAATAATAATAATAATAATAATAATAATAATAATAATCCAATACAACAGCCAGGAGAGTGTCCGCTGTGGACTCATCTTGTG